GTAATACGTTATAAGTCGGTAAGAGCAATTTTACCTGTAGTCGCTAAATATGACATAGAACTGATACAATTCGATATAAAACAATTTCTCTGAATAATTCGCTTGAAAAGGATATCTATATGCAGCAACCAGAAGGATATGAAGATGGATCAGAACGTGTTTGTAATTTTTATGGGCTTAACAAGCACCTAGGAATTGGAATAATAGATTCAACGATTTTCTTATGTCTCATGGATTTGAACAATCAAAAGCCGATCCATATGTCTTTTTGAAGAGTATCCATACAGATGATTGGATTATACTGTCTTATGTTGACGATGGATTAATAGCATACAAATGAAGGAAAACGTTGAATATTTTTGTTTCCTTCATCATTGATTTCGGAATTTGAAGTTAACTGTCATGAACCGACATGTTATGTTGGAATGGAAATAACGTGAAATCGAGAAACAAGATCTTCATTAATCAACAAGGATATATCTCTCGTATGTTGCACCATTTTGAAATGGAGGATTATAAACCTGTGAATCTCATGTTGAGCTGATTGGTCTCAATGAAAAGAAGAATTAAGAGAGATGTTTTCTATATAGAGAAGGAATTAGCTGTTTGACGTATATTGCCACAGTATCGAGGCCGGACATTTCATACGCTGTAAACACACTTGTTCGGTGTGTTCCAATAATCCACAAGAACTTTATTGGAAGTCGGTAAAGCGTTATGAATTATCTTAAGGGTACAATTGATATTTCACTGTGTTTTCATGGGGGCTCATCAGATGAATTGATTGGACTGTGATTCGGATTATGCTGGTGAACTAAAAGAAAAAAGATCAATGTCTGCATATATATATATATTTCTATTTCATAATGGACCGATCGTCATAGTGGATTGCTTGATCATCGAGTCTGCAACAAATTACCCTTCATTAGAGGCAGAATATATATCGATTTCAGAAGCGTTACAGGAACTTCTCTGGTTGAGATCACTTATTGAAGCTTTCAATTTGAAACAGATGGAAACTGAATTGACAGTGAATTAATAATCAAGCAGCTATAGCCATGTCAAAAAATCCTGAATTTCATAGAAGGCCTAAACATATTGGAGTTCGGAGTTTTTTTTTCATCGAATTAGACAAGAACAGAAAGCTGAGAAAGTCAATGTTACATATGTACCATCGGATGAACAAGCAGCAGATCTGCTAACAAAGCCTCTGTCCTGGCCTACAATATCACGATGTCTTACACAAAATGAAAATGACGTCGAAAACAAGAGGTGTTGAAAATATATATTTCCCGCCGTAATTTAGTTATTGGTTGGATAGATAGGATTCTTCATTGCGCCATTTATTTAATATATTTTTCACTGCTTATTTCTCTTATCGCTTATATCACTTACTTTATTTTTGTCCTTTTTATTTACTTCCGCTCGTTAGTCTCTCTGCGTACTGTATTTCTCTCATATACAAATTTGTCTAAAATATATATTATTCACATGTGTGTCTCTGAGTCATAATTAATCATCCTCAAACAGTAATTCTGTTGATTGTTTTTACAATAAATATTATTTATTCGAATTTGTTTTCTATTACGTCACTTTATTTTCGCTCGTTTTTTGGCCTTTCTTTCCTTTTGTGAATATAAATATTGGTGAGATACTCGAATCTAAAATTTTATTAAATATATAATGATATATTTATCATTTGCATAGCAAATATTCATAATAACTTCTTTATACTTTAGATACTGCGTAACACTCTTTATACATAAATGTTATATTTCGCTTGCTACCTACATTTTATTTATTAAATCATTCCTATTATACAATAATACAATATTGAGAGACTAGATCTCGTATGTTGCCCTTCACCAAAAATAATCCTGAAAACACGTATATCTGAAAGATGTTTATTGAACGTTTTAAAAGAGTCTTTAAGATTTGACTAGAAAAGACAATAGACTTTTCCCACATTAACTCTTTTAATCAATTCTTACAGACATCTCTTTTTAAATATCTAGTGAATGTCTTTTTAATGTCTTAAAGACATGACTAACAGACATCATAAAGACATCTTTTAGTCTTACAAATCTTACAAATATCTCTTTTAGGATATCTTTAAGATTAATCTAGTATGAGACATTGCCACCAAATGGATGCGGCGAAATTTTATTTTTCGTAAGTAAAAATCATACAGAATAGAATAAAAGGCAAAGCATTATAAAATTATTTTAATTATTTCTAATGAAATTGATTTTTGAAGGTTAGTTCCCAACATGGGACTCTACTTAAATGAAATCTTTCCAAATGGAAGACTTCCAAATGAAAGTAAATTAAATATTATTTGGATAATACAATTATTAATTAAAGTGTCAAAGAAATAACTAGCTATAATATAACTAATAATATAGCTCTAATATAATTAGCTATATAAAAGTTATATAACATTAGAATCACTTACTTAGAAAACATTGTGACGTTTATGAAACATTTCAAAGACGTCCTAAAAATTTTAAGATATTTTTTTAATTATCTTAGATATCTAACAGATGACTATAAAAAATCGATTAAGATGTCTGTTATCGTTTCAATGACATCAGAAAACGAGATATAAGACATTTATAAAGCTTCTATATCTAATAATTTTAAGAAGTCTAAAAAGATGTCTTAAAATTTTTAAGATGTCTTTAAGACATCTTATAGATGTCAGAATGTTCTTTGGGAACAACAGACTTTTCTCACATTAACTATTTCTTTTGTGCTATCTTTAGCTTTATCTACAGTGGGTCAAGAAAGTTTCTATATACTTTATTTCAATCAATTTATTATAGTTTACAATTAAATTCGGATAGTAATAATTTAAATAATATTTTACATATACAAAGAGGATTATACGAACCAAGCTGGTTGACAGTTGCTAATTTATTATTTTAGTATAAAAATACAAAAGAGAACGCGATAAATATAAACATAACAAATATTTCGACTCTTACTCATCAGTGTATAAGCTTCAATTATAATAATCGTCTATATATTCAGAGTGACTTAATCTAAAAAGATGACGCCTTACAGTTTCCGATGATATAAATTCGTTACTCCACATATAGCGCAAGTGGTCGCAACAGTAGTCTTCGTGGAGAAATGTTACATGGCAATTGTATAACTAGGTGTGACCAAAAACATTTTAAATCTGATGAGAAAATTGTAAACGATCGAGAAAAATTATTAGAAAATTGTGGAGTATCTTCAAATAATACATGTAGACAAGTGCGAGCGAAATTCATTCTATGCTAGCCATTTTAAAAAGATTTCTCATGTGCGTGAATAGTATGTAGGAGCAAGGTTAAGATACAATTAAGTTCAAGAATTTTAATATAAAAGATAAACATATTAATATGCACTAAAATGCGTTAAAGTCAAGCGTGAATATACAATGTGCTTCATGTGCTGATGGATAGCAACATAATGCTTGGCTGGCAACAGTAGATCGTTTCTCAGTGCAGTATGGGATGCAAGAATTGCATTCGCGAGGAGAGTTGAAAACATTATCTCAAAAAAATTATTTTATCGTTAGTCTTATTTTTGCAAAAGATAATTCGTTACCATTACTCGTTACTGATTTTAAAAAGTAATTCGTTACTATTACCATTATTTAAAAAGCAACGATTCGTTATTTTTTGTTACTTTTTTGTAATACTAAAGTGAGTTTATTAGGTTTTAAATTTATTAATATGTTTACTGGCTGTTACACTGGCTTTTAACTTCGACTTAGAACATTGATGTTATAACTCTTACTTAAGTCGCGTTTACATATTCAGGCTTATCTTTCTCCAACCAAGCTGAAACAATTTGCTTAACAATTTTCCAAGCTGAAACAATTGCTTAACAATTTTCGAATGAAGTGAATCAAGGATTTCCATTAATCAATCAATATAAAATAACGAAGAATTAGATGCTTGCTTGTTGTAAGAGTGTTGTCTAAAAGAACGTGACTTTCACGTTTTTTGGTTCTTATTTTTTTTATTTTCTTATCTCTCCTTCTGTATGGCACAAAATACTGAATAATCAACCCTGCAAACGATGAAAAGGTGTTTAATTTTTACGGTTGGTATTACTGCTTACATTGCAGCCATTTACAAGTCCTTTTTATGTTGATGTAGTATGTTGATGTAGTAGTAATTCTAAGCCTCTTCACTAAACGACTTTGAGTTACTACATTGATATAGTAACTTTGTCATAAAATAGCGTTTACATGGCATCTAACGTCAGTAGTTATAACATTAATGTAAAATTATTAATTTGAATTATAACACAGAGGTAAAATTATAAATTTAGCATAACTTCACATAAGCAGAACTCTGCGAAAAATTATCATATTCAAAAATTTTTTTTACATTTTCAAGAGTAAAATCTGTACTTTAAAAGGCATTAATTGTTATTTGACTTTATCTTTCTTTCATTCTGCCATTATTAAAAAGTAAAGACGTGTTTTGTTTACTATAAATTGCATAATTTGACGGAGCAAAATGAATTGTAAGCAAAATAACTTTGACATATTGTAACTCCGCGAAAAAAATCATACAAACTTTTTTTTTTTCTAATTTGTAAAAAAAAGTTCAAACTTTACAATAGTTACCATAATATTTACGAAAAAAATTCATCGTTTTTCGTACAATATGTCTAATTATGTAATTTTTAGAGAGACGAAACATGTCCTTACTATTTAAAGAATGAAAGCAGAATGAGGGAAAGGTAAATTCAAATAATGACTAATGCTTTTTAAAGTACAAATTTTATTCTTGAAAATGCAAAAAAAATTTGATAATTTTTCGTAGAGTTCTGCTTATTTAAAGTTATACAAAATTTTGGTATAATTTTACTTATGCATTAATTTTATTGACCACTGTATATATCGGTGTTTCAGATCATCCGTTTTTTCCAACACCTCATTTAAAAACAAAGGAAGTGTTATTACTTTATTCATTTCGTTGGAAAGTAATCATATGGGGAGGAATTGTCGGAGATCAAGTCCTCATTTATCAACTTCCGGACATTCTTGGGGTAAGTATCACTACATCTGTGACTCGACGATTCACCTACACAAACACGTACACTTTAAAAATTACGTATCCATTTTTATTTCAAGATGAGCAGTACGCTATTTTTTTCGAGGAGATCTTTTCAGATTTACTGGACGATGTCCCCCTGGCAAATCGACCTCGTTGGTTCCAACAAGATGGTGCACCACCGCATAATACTCGGCGTGTGAGGGAATATCTCAACGCCTAGTTTCTTGGACGTTGGTTCGGTGTCGGCGCTGCGGTCCGCTGGCCACTACGGTCAGATTCGTTTGACCTTATGTAATTAAAAATCATTATATAAATAAATTTTCAAGTTGACTTTTATTGTCAGTTTGCCTGATCTTTCGCCTTTGGACTTCTTCCTTTGGGGTTATCTAAAGGAAAAAGTTTACACGGAAGAACCAGAGGACATGGAGGAAGTGATTGCATGCTACTATAGCAATGGTGGATGCCGAAATGTTTCGTTGCACGTTTGCATGTAAAGGACGAAATCGTTTGAAGAGCCCACGCTTGTTTAGCAGCGAACGGGGAATTATTCGAAGCGTTCTGACATAGTTAATTGTTAACTGTTAACTGTTAACTCTTAACTGTTAACTATTAGCTGTTAACTGTTAACTGTCAACTGTTAACTGTTAACTGTTAACTGTTAATTGTTAATTGTTATAAATAAATTGATTAACAAATTAATTGCTTAGATTAAATTATTTATACATATTCGTTAATTTCGGATTTTAAAATGATGACGTCATCGAATTATAAGAATCGAATTGTAAGAAGAAAAATACATAAGAATTGTACATGCCAACGTTATGAAATAATGAAAATAAATTTTTCACAAGCAATTTGTTTAAGTAATTTTTTTAAAAATCTAATTTTAATTGAAAATTGATAGCTTCATTTCTATGAAAAAAATACGTAAGAATCATACGTGATACATGCCAAAACAATTTCTGAAAAGGTCATTTAAACAATTTATTTACAATTTATTTTGATAATGTTGCCAATAATCTTTTTTGTATCCATAACAAATCTCTCTAATTAGTTTTTTCCCATCACTGTTAGGTTAGTCATGAAAGTCAAATAACTGAATAAAACTTGGATTAAATAATTGAATTAAATAAATAAACAAATAAATAAATAATAAAATAAACAAAAAACAA